GTACTCTAAACTGTATAAATAATGTAAAATTAAATTGAATTTATTAGCCAATCAGACGAACTTCTGTCTATGAGGTTTAGTGATTTAATAATGGGCGAACGATAGTTGGATACGATGGTTTAACGATTGTTTTTAGTTTGGGTTGGGTTATAGTTTACTTTTAATATGGGTCCGATACTTTAGTTTTATTTAAACAAAAATGTATTTACTTGGGGGTATCCTTGTTACTTTCCCTCTGGGCGGAAAGCCCTTTATTTATAATAAACTGTCTTGCCTATTTACATCATGGATTTATCTAATATATCGAACATGTTTAATATATCGACTTTATCGTATATATCACATCTATTTAAGATACCACATTTATGCGCTATAGCAGATATATCAGATATATTTGATATATTTGATATATCTGACATATCTGACATTTCTGACATTCGGGATCTATGCCACGTGATATCGGTCACGTTTTCGGACCTCACAATATATAAACTACGTAATCTTTACATATGTTTTTTTACATAAATATAAAATAAAGTACGGGACAGCTAAAAATATCCTTTTTTAAAAAAAAATTGGTGTAACTTTTTTGAAACAAATTAAAATAAAAACCCTCTTTCAAAATTATTGTTTTTTTTATTTATTAACAAATATGAAAGAAGGATTTTAAAATTTGTAATTTTTAAAATTTTGGCGCATATATACTGTATAATTTTAAGAATTGGTTAATATTTTTTATCATAAAAATTTTTTTAAAATTTGGCGCATCACGGAAAAAGTGGATAAATTTAGCTGTACTGTATATATAAATTTTATTTATATCTATATAAATTAATTTAATTTATTGCAGTTATTTCTCAAAAGTGACCAAAGTAATCACCGATCGATGCACCAAGTAAAAATTTTCAGCATGCTCAAAAACCTTCCCAAACCTCTAATTTAAACTTTAAAATCTTTTTTTTTCAGTTTAAAGCGGCAATCTTGCCTGTGTGTCTTTATTTAGTAACATATGATTACATTTTTATATACAATAGTATATCAACGAAAGTACAACTAGCCACACGTATAATTTTAGTCATTATCTAATTAAGGGTTCCGCCCATAGGTTACCCACTAGATGCCATACCTGAGACCCGCCTCTGGATCCCCTATTTAACACTATTTGCATGTACTATATGTAATATTTTAAACTTCTGCATAGAAATATATATAGATTTATAATAAATATGTAAACCTACATTGGGTTTTGCAAAGGTATATAACAATTTTACATAATCCTACATAAAAATTCTACATAAAAGCAACTTCAAGATGTTGTTATTAACGAAAATTAAGTTATCGTTATATTTGAAGCATTCTGACAAATAAATACAATCAATATATAATAAATAATTACTTTATATTTGTTTCCGTTCTCTAGCAATTTAATTTAATTACATTCATTAAAAAGAAAGCATTCATTAGCTTTTTGTAAGTCCTTTGTTACTCCAATTCCATTATGATAACAGTATTTAACACTATTTATTGCTTTAGTATTACCCATCTCAGCAGATTTTTGATAATAAATGAACGCCTTATGCTCATTCTTTTCAACTCCAATTCCATGTGCATAACAGATACCAAGTGCGAATATTCCATCAGAATCTCCCGTCTCGGCAGATTTTTGATAATAAATGAATGCCTTATGTTCATTCTTTTCAACTCCGATTCCATTGAGATAACAGTTACCTAGATTGTTTATTCCACCAGCATTCCCCATCTCAGCAGATTTTTGATAATAAATGAATGCCTTATGTTCATCCTTTTTAACCCCAATTCCATCTTTATAACAATTACCAAGTACAAACATTCCATTAGCATTACTCATTTCTGCAGATTTTTGATAATATTCGAATGCCTTAAATTTATCCTTTTCAACTCCAATTCCTTCATTATAACAATATCCAACACTATATGTTCCAAAAGCGTCACCCATCTCAGCAGATTTTTGATAATAAATGAATGCCTTATGTTCATTTTTTTCAACTCCAATTCCATTATGATAACAAAGTCCAGTCACATATATTCCACTAGCATGTCCCATCTCAGCAGATTTTCTATAATAAATGAATGCCTTTTGTTCGTCTTTTTTAACTCCAATTCCACTGTAATAACAGTTCGCAACATTATATGTTCCAATAGCATCCTCCATCTTTGCAGATTTTTGATAATGAATAAATGCCTTATGTTCATCCTTTTCAACTCCAATTCCATGTTGATAACAATATCCAACAATAATTGTTCCACTAGCGTCACCCATCTCAGCAGATTTTTGATAATAAATGAATGCCTTATGTTCATTCTTTTCAACACCAATTCCATGTTGATAACAGACACCAATTGCATGTACTCCGCCTACATTCCCCATATCAGCAGATTTTTGATAATAAATGAATGCCTTATGTTCATTTTTTTCAACTCCAATTCCATTATGATAACAAATTCCAGTCACATATATTCCACTAGCATGTCCCATCTCAGCAGATTTTTGATAATAAATGAATGCTTTACGTTCATCTTTTTCAATTCCAATTCCATTATGATAACAATGTCCAACACTATATACTCCACTAGCATTTCCCATCTCTGCAGATTTTTGATAATAAATGAATGCCTTATGTTCATCCTTTTCAGTCCCAAATCCATCTTTATAACAATTACCAAAATTGTTTATTCCACTAGCATGTCCCATCTCTGCAGATTTTTGATAATAAAAGAATGCCTTATGTTCATCCTTTTTAACTCCAATTCCATCTTTATAACAGTTACCAAGTACAAAAATTCCACTAACGTTACCCATTTCTGCAGATTTTTGATAATATTCGAATGCCTTAAATTTATCCTTTTCAACTCCAATTCCTTCACTATAACAATATCCAACATTATATGTTCCAAAAATGTCACCCATCTCAGCAGATTTTTGATAATAAATAAATGCTTTATGTTCATCCTTTTCAACTCCAATTCCATTATGATAACAATATCCAACATTATATATTCCAATAACATCCCCCATATCTGCAGATTTTTGATAATAAATGAATGCCTTATGTTCATCTTTTTCAACTCCAATTCCATATCTATGGCAGACACCAAGACTACACATTCCGGCAGCGTTACCCATCTCTGCTGATTTATGATAATATATGAATGCCTTATGTTCATCCTTTTTAACTCCAATTCCATTTTGATAACAATATCCAACTTCATTCAACCCAATAGCATCCCCCATCTCAGCAGATTTTTGATAATACATGAATGCCTTATGTTCGTCCTTTTCAATTCCAAGTCCAATCATATAGCAGTTTCCAACATTGTACATGCCTTCAGGATTACCCATATTAGCGAGTTTTTGAAAAAGGTGAAACATTTGATTATAACTTTCAAGTAAACCCTTTTTATTTGCAAATATTCCACTAGTATCGCCCATCTCCGCTTTATATTCAGCCTTTTTGACACCAACTCCTTCATGACAACTAACATCATCTATATCTACCGGGTTTTCATTTTTTTCGATAACTAAATGCAAATGAGTTAATAATTTCTCAATATTTGGTCGTCGAGAAGGCTTTGCATCCCAACAATGACTGATAATTTGTGAAATTAACTTTGGCGTTGAATTTGGAAGTTCTGGTCTTATTCCATTACAAATGTTACTCGTCAAATCAACATCGTCCGGAATATTATAATATGGAGATAATCCTGTCGTTATTTCATACAAAATAATACCTAATGAGTATATATCTGCCTTATGTGTGTATGTTTTAGTAAGCAAAACTTCTGGAGCTACGTAAGTTACATGCATATTGTCAATAGAAATCGAATAAGAAATCATCATTCTTTCTTTATGAATCAAAATGTTTTCTGTATTCTAAAAAAAAAAATTAACCATATATGTTAAGTTTTTTTTTTTTTAAAAAAAAAAATAAATAGATGTTAATCTGATGTTAAACATATAATTTAAAACCTAAGTTAAAAAATTAGTTCTCTCCTGAACTGAAATTTTTAACCCGGGATTTTCATTTACTTACTAAATTTCGATGAATAATATTGTGCTTGTGTAAGATCTTTAGACCCAATATAATTTCTTCGGCAATACGTAATTTTTCGGTCCATTTGAGCTTTGAAAAATTACTTTTTAAATATTGCTGTAAATTTCCGTTCTTTGCATATTGCAAAATTATATAATAACACTCGTTGGACACTGATTTATCATAATATTTAGATTAATTATGTAGAATAACATTCTTATGTGCTTTAACTTTAGTAACTTACATTTGGTTACGCCATACAACTGGATAATATTAGGGTGAAAACTAACGTCTTGTAAACTTTCAAGCTAGAAAGATTTAGAAAAAAAAAAAAGAAAAAAAAAAGAACTTGAATGTTTATACTAAAAATAAAGGTTTCATTGAAAGCATTAAATACCTCTCGAATAATTTGAAGATTGCTATCAATGTTCAGACTCTTAAGAATAACTATACGATCATAATCTTTCCATTTACACTTATACACTTCACTAAGTTTACCACGATTTATCCTCTCAAAATCTGTAAATTCGTTGTAATCGAATAAATTAATATTTTGACATGAAACTGCTTCTTCGAGCTCTGTAATAAATGAATTCGGTGTCATTTTTTAAAGAGAAAGTTAAAGATAATATATTTATCAAAAATGCAAACATTTAACAATTATAGCAATATTATTGGCACAATATTCTTACACAAACTTGGAACTGTATTACGCAGTGTTATTCTTTTAAGAATTCTTGTGCACTTCGTCCATGACCTTGCACAAATAAACAATATCCTAAATATCTTAAATCGGAGAACTTCGCATTTTATCTTTAAAATAATGAACTATTCTTCGATTGAAGTAATTGAACGTAGTCATAAAATTTTTGACTATGCTGAATTTTCACAGTCTGAAGAAATTGGTCAAGGAGGATTTGCAAAAGTAGAAAAATGTTACTGGGATGATTTTAAATGTCACGTCGCCATTAAAAGTATAAAAACAGGCAATAATTCCGAGGTTATTCGAGAGGTAATTATTTAATAATATTAATCTGTTTTATGGCAATTATGTTAATCTAATTTTATTTTACACGATACGCAAAGATTAAAATTTTTAAAAAAATTAGTCATCATCGTAATATTATTAAATTATATGGTATAACTAAAAGTAAGTGATGACAACCATAAATTCGAACTAAAGGTGCCATTGATTAGATTAACATTAAGTCAGAATTTCACCGAACTCCTTTGCATGATATATTTATTATATTATTGGTTCAACGATAAATTTTCGTCAAATGAAAAAATTGCCTAAAACTGAATCGATGATTTCTGACTTCTGTGACCGCAAATTATCGATTCAGTTATCAGAAATTTTTCAGTTGTCCTAGAATTTATGAAAAAGTTGTAACTGCGTTAGCTGTAATATTTTAGTCGGGATTATTTCCTTTTGGGATCATACGTATTGTACCTTAATTACAGCACATTTTTTTCTGATTTTCGTGTCAGGAAAGAAAATTGGTGCAACATTTTTATTACACATAATTATAATTACAAGCTTAATTGTTATTAATTTTCATTGGCACCAGCAATATATGGTGTTTCTAAGGAATATGCATTTATAAACCTTATAAATACATATTAAGATCACAGTAAATCACCGTCCCTGATTGGCACCCTTTGTATGTGATTACGATTATATAATAATTCAAGTAAATGTTTTTTTATAATTAACAGATGAGTCCGGCAATTATTGTATGGTATTAAAGTTTGCTAACAATGGAAATCTACGAGAATATTTAAAAAATAATTTTTCAAGGCTCGAAATTCTTGATAAATTACGCATTGCTCAGGAAATAACACTGGGCCTTAAGCACTTACATAAGAATGAGATTATTCATCGTGACCTTGTAAGTCAATTTATATATACTTAATTGTCCTTTATTTGGATGACCTATAAAGCATACCAAATTTTATACTACGTATGTACGCACATATAGCATACGAAGAATATCTTAGTTCATAAGGGGAAAATGAAGATTGCAGATTTTGGCAACTCTAGTCACGTTACCGATCCAGTAGATACCGACTCGGTCAATCAAATACGTGGAGTACCGGCATTTATTGATCCCGAATGTCTAAATAATCTAAATAATCCCTCATACAAACTTACAACAAAATCCGATATTTATAGTCTAGGCGTCATTCTCTGGGAGATTTCAAGTGGACGACGGCCATTTGAAGATAAACCTAAGATTGAAGTAATTAATCTAATATGTAAAGGGGAAAGAGAAATTCCTACAGATAGTATGCCGATGGATTATGTTAAACTTTATAGATGTTGTTGGGATCAAACACCATCGATTCGCCCAGAAATAGAAAAAGTCGGTGATGATTTGGAGGTGATTATTTCCAAGAATGAAAGTTGCCAAGAAACAAAAATAGTTTGTAGTGATTTGGACACTATTTCTGACAATTCCTGTTATGACAACAACTCACTCATTAACGATGAAAAAAAAATTTGGTATAATTCTGATAGCCTTAATAAACAACATAACATCGAAGTCTCCCTACATCAGTAAACTGCCTTCTCTATCATTCTAGAAAACCGCTGCAATACGCAGGTACGCGTAATGCGGAGTGGAGTAACTTGCTTTATAGTCCGGATCGGGCACTTTTAGCTTTATTGACAACGAAAGTATTTGGAAACACTTACAGACAGGATCAAAAAATGTTGTCGAGAATTAAATTTAGCTGATTATGAAAATTGCGGATTTATCAAAACCGTTATCGCTATATCGATATGCAAAGGACGACTTTTGATTTATGTTATACGCGATCAAAAGACAACTAATCAGTAATCACTAATTAGTAAAGCGCGAAGTGCCGCCTATCATGTTCAGCATTTACATTATTTTTGTCTCTGAAAAAATAAATAGGTCGACATAGCATGTACGTACGTGCGTGCGTACGTATATTGTGGAAGTCGAACTAACCCTATCCGGAACCGCCGCACGATCGATGTATAACAACCTCGATTTTAAATATAAATTTTATTAAGATTAAAGAATGTCCTCAGGTGTCCTCAGATGAAAATATATACAGTACGAGGCAGCTTAAGATATCAACCTTTCATTTTATTGTCAAAAAACGCCAAATTGAAGTAAGAACAATGTAAGATAACAACTTTTTACTACGTAAAAGGCGTCAAATTTAGAATTTATAGTTAATTTGATTGATAACACAAAAAATGTACATATAGATCAGGCGCCAAATTTTCAATTATAAATAAAATAAATTAAAACTATTATAACACTGTTAAAATAAAAGAAAATCCTCTTACAGAAATACAAACTATTAATTTGTAAGAGGGTTTTTGCATTTAATAAATTATAATATTTTTAAAACATCTATTAAAATAGGATATCTTATACAGTATAAGAGACCAAGCTTACCCTCAATAAAACTAGCTCCAATGAGTTTAAAATTTCGAAGATTTGAGTAGAAGTTATACATATCACCACTAAAAAATTTCGCACATCATGTGATCTTATTGCCAAACCAAGAAGAACTTTCGCTGTATTGCAAGTAAGTTAAGTTTAGAGGGTTATAGTTATACCAAAATTTTGCAAGGAAATTTTTTTGTTTTTACGTTACACTTGATCTTGAAATTTGATTGACTGCGAAATTTTTTAGATTGGTGATTTTAGAGTTGTTCGGCTAACCAAAAAGGGTGACCCGGCTAGAAAAGACAGAATCGTCAGAAAGGACCGAAACGTAGGAAAAGTCCTTTCCGATCAAAGGGGCGAAGTAAGTAAACTAGTCATTAAGGGATGGAACACTGATGTAGACGTAATCATTATAGTACATACAGTCTTAGACAAATTGTTCTTATAAATAAAGGTTGAAAAGGCTCTAAGGGAACGAGAGACCCGAACTTCGCTTTATTAAAATAATAACTAGCCTCTTACATACTAATAAAACATAAACGTCCCTTGCTACATTAACTAATCGCTAAATCCCCAGACCATAAAACCCGATTCTTGCAATTAACTGCCCTATCCCGTAGTATTGTTACATTCCCGTCCGGCTGTTGTATCCTAAAGTACAAGGATCAGCCGTGGTTATATCGTCCCACTATCCCGAAGGACTGAGGATAGTTGAGGTTATACGTGTTGTTCAATTACCCGAAGTAGTGAGGTAATTGAGAATAAAGTTAGTAGAAAGCTCACGAGAGGAAAACCCAGAGACATAACAGAAGAAATACTTACCTACGGACCCAACCATCGACAAATCTAAACGCCTCTTTCCGACTAAGCTAACCGTAGGTTACGCAAGAATTTGGATTGTGAAGCGACTGACTCGCTTTTTCGCCCGTTGTCACTATCATTAAAAGAACTATAAAGACGATCCGGTTAGTGGGTCATGTGAAGTTATGGAACTGCGGGGAAACCTACCATTCACGTGATTTTTGTACCTACCAAATATAAAACCAACCAATCAAGACTAGCATAACCCTAACCTTAACATTCGGTAGGTGCAAAATGACGTAACTGGTAGGTGTCCGGAGACTTTCCCGAACTGCGGACCTAGATAACGTGGGTCCTACACCACGGGGCCAGGGACCCGGGACGTCATATGACGGACCTAATGGAGCATGACGAGTACGGTGACATATAGAGGCCATATGCCGTTTCGTAGATCTCCGCAATAATGATAATGCTGGTCTTAAGAAAGTGAGAGGAATCCTAAGGTGTCTAAGGACCATCTGGATGTGGAAGGAGAAAAAAAAAGAAGTCAAAAACTAATACCATATTATAAAAGCCTATTTTGGCTTAGTCAATAATATTTTGGCATTGATTTTTGATAAGATTGTTATCTCAGAAATTATAGACAAGGGTAGAATCGCCACTAAAAAAAGGTTCAAGTGAAATTTCGGGGTTTTTTTAGGGTAGGGTTAGGATTTTGTCATTAAATTGGTGTCTAAAATCATTTATTATGACAAGATTTTACAAGGAAAACTTTTAATCAATGCGCAGAAGACAGTTTCATAAATGAAATTTTGGGTTATACACGTTTTTTGACAAACCGAACGTTTGCTTTGAATTTTTCTGATCGTGTTACGTTACACCTGATCTTGAGATTTGATTGGTCTTGAAATTTTTTAGGGTGGTGATTTTATCCCTGTTAAATTATGCCGAAATAGTTTCTATGAAATTATAGTTTCTATGAAAATTATAGTGACTATTAATAGCATGTATCTTAGATTTCCGATTGCAGCATAAATTATGGCTTGTGGCTTTATTTCTACCTAAAAAATCGGTGCCTAAATGGTTGCGACACAGCTGTGACTAGTTTTTACAGCATGTATAATCCTTTATTCACAAAATCCATATGTAAAATATTATAATATCTACATGTTTAATTGTAAGTGAAAAATTAAAATAGCCATTCTTGTAAAAATTCAATTATTATTGCTTGATAAAGAGCTTTATCAAATTACGTATGAGAACTAAGGGTCTGCAGACCTGCATATACCCATGCTTAATAAATGCACAGTCATAGGTATGGCACTAAAACTTAAGCATGAGTATAGGAATAGACATAAAAATTCCGGTATGAGCATGGACACAGACGCAAATTTGGCATAAGCATGAGATAGGTACAAAAAAATTAGGAATAGACCTAGGCATAGGCACAATAATTTAAACATTAGTATAGGTACTGACAAAAATTTGAGCATAAGTATAAGCAAGCATGAGCATGGGCATAAGCACAAAATTTAAATATAGGTCAAGTATAAAAGTTGATATAATACTAGTTAGCATTTTACAAAATGAATTCAAGATTGAATTCAAAATTTAGTGTTGTAAACTTAATTAAATAATTTATTTATTTTAAATATTTAAATCAAATCGATTAACATTTGTATTTTAATAAATTTTGTATTATTTTAAAGGCTAATAGTATTGAGTAATATACACTACCATCAGAAAAAATTATAATGCAAATTGGTACTAAAAATTTTTTTAATGATTTCGCTTGCAGTATGCATATTTTTCATTATCTTCATCTCTTTTATTATAAAATTCATCAAATACTCATTGGCTATTGTATTTTGAGTTAGACCATATACTTTAAGATCACTATTTTTTTTAATTGTGCATATATTAATA